TTCCATTCAGTGTGCCATTTTGATAAAACCGCAGCCTCCCATTGTCTCCATCATCCATTTTTATCAATTGTTGCCAGACAGTTTCTTGTAAATGGCAGAGTCGAGTTCTGGCCATGCAATTGCATTTTGAAAGGAACTGCCTGGCATATATTCACTTATTTCCTTTCGCTATCGGAATCAATCTGGCTACAAAACCGATCTTTAACATTTCAAGGTTTAAAATCAAATATCCAATGAATGAAATGCCTGTATGAATCGAATCTTGCGGGGAGAGCATTTTTTTTTGTTCACTCAAAACGGAATGGCTGCAAAGCATTTCATGAACTAATTGCTAAGGTTTATATTACTGTTGCTTTGAAACCCGCACTTTTACCCATAAGAATACAAAACACCAGGAGATTTTATAATTAAGAGGGCACCAATATTAGTAAATATATCCCTGCCTTCCTAACCATTTCAATTAGTTGACCTGTTTCAATGAATGCCACTATCAGTGGTTTTGCCTATAAGAATAAGTAGCTGTAGTCTCCTACACTCCATCTTCAAGATGACCTCAATATCATTGACAATTTCGAAAGAATCCGACATTCCAATAAAATCCAGGAATTTATAAAGCAGTAAAGCACCAATATCTGGTTGCCTAATCAAAGGCGCTGACAAAATATTGATGTTTTTTTTTTAATTCAAGGTTTATCATTTCTCCTTCCAAATGTATCATTAATCATGTATCAAAGATCAAACGGCATTTCGTAGAAAGATAAAGCAAATAAAGAAAATGCGCAACAGAAATGGTTATAGTGACAAGCTGTAAGAAAGGGAGTGTATCATGACGAGACTATGTGTCTTTCCCGTGGCCCTACTCGGGGCCAATCGGGTATAATACGACTAAGGACGACGCGACCGCAGCATTCACGTGCGTGCAACATACGCGAAACCGACGCGTGAGGAGAACTTCGGTCTGTTTCGCGAACGCTAGCGCGCGCAGACCCAGTTTAGAGCGCATTGACCCAGTTAATCAAGTCTATTCGTTTACGTGCAGTTGTAAAAAAAGAAAACGTAGATGGCGTTAACCAGTATTTCCCATGATACACTACCTTTAACTATTCAATGCCGGTGATTTATCAGAGTATATTGCGGTTCTTCGAAGTATTTTTTATTCCAATGATGATTTCTAAATATGAACACACTCTTTCATTCATTTCATTTCATTTGTTCATTTATTTCCATATCCATAAAAACAAAAGATCATTACAACAATATACATTATATAAAAAATTACATGCAATCATAACAGTTAAACAGTATCAAAGATACCAAATTTACTAGTCGGAAACTTTTTTCACATTCTCCCAGTCCCTCAATTTTAGAAACATCGATTTGATCGACTCTAAACGAAGGTGGGGTACAAAATCTGAACAACTCATAACTGTCTTATTTGTGACAGAGAATCAAACTGTGTGAACTCTTTTTCCACATTCTCCCAGTCCCTCAATTTTAGAAACATCGATTTGAGTACATATACTGTAAATAGGCTATGTTATGGATAGCATGTTTTAGTTATAATTGTCATTGTTATTATCTAATTGTTGTATTTATTGCAATAAATATTATTTGTATTGTTATCATTATCATAATTGTATCTGTGTGTGCACAATACAGTATTTTTCTAAAATCATGTTCTTGTATTGAATTCGATCATCGCGCAATTATCACCGTGGAAACACTCTCTTGGTCAGGGACTGGTTATTACAACAACAACAATTCTGAAAGCATATCCAATAACAAATTTCCATAGTGATGATAGCTCGATGTGCTATAATAAAAAAACATTTTTAAATTGAATTGAATAAGGCATCGTAAAAGGCGTCCACTTAAATCTAAGACATATTTGAAACTCCCAATTGTGTATTATTTAACGTAGCATATTGCAATCGAGGTGATGCAACGCCCTAGAGGGCCGAAAGACATCTCTAGGCCGGGTGCGGCAAGAAAAGTTATATATAAAGATAAACTTGAGTTCTGGTTGAAAAAAAGAAAATCAATTTTCACAGAATCAAACGAAACTTACACTTTAAGTTAAAGATTACATATAAATCTCAATTGCTAAACAATTTTTGGTAGAAAATGTGTAATGGCTAAGTAATGAGCATAGGAAGATAAGAAAATTGAAGGTGTCGGGCCCTGAGACCAATTGTGTAGTCCCATTTACATCTTTCTGTGTACAATGCTTGTGACTTTACCAAGACTGGGCCAAATTTATTATGATGTTCATGACTCCAGAACCTTGCAGTACACACCAATACTTACAATGGTAACAACGTGTCTTTTATCCTCAATCGTTTTGCCTGCTCGCAACATTAGTAAACAGAATGGTTTCAGGCAGCCTAGAGCCTGAATACCTGCATATCCGGGCGAGGAAGTGCATGGATTTCCTATTTGACAGCGAGACAATAATATCTTAAAGGTACTATGTCCCATTTGCAGGCCCAACAAATAAAAAGGTTAAGTTCCAACTGCATTTGAAAGATAATACAGATTTATAACTTCCCGAAAAAGGGGGTTGAAAATGTCTTTAAGTGGGAAAACAACAACTATTAGTTGTCAAATCGACTTAAGTGCTACCAAGTCAGTAAGTTATAGTCTGATTTCCAGACCATTGTACCAAATGGTCGTACGTTTTGTGCTGCGCAAAGATTCAATCAGTTTAATTTTGGCCATTACTAGAAGTGGGTTAATGATGTAGACAAATTCTCATGTACCCTTTACAGCTCATTTTATGTATGTTCTTACCAAAGAAGAAAAAAGCTAGTCAGTCACTCAATAGTGTCTGACAGTAAAGTCTAGCAAGTAAACGGATTTCCTTGCATATTTGAATATTAGAACACTGCTAACGTTTACATTTCACAGATAGGTCATACATGACATATTCATAACTCCTGAAAAGTCCTACACAATTTGATTTCGGCTGCAAAAGGGACATAGTATCTTTAATATACATGACGCCAGAATATATTTCATATTCTTATAAATCGAAATTACATTTCTACTATGCTCATTCGTTTCACGTGCTCGCAACAATTATAGACAGGAAGTTGTGGGTAACAAGATGCTCGAATATCATCCTATGCCATATGCAGTTTGTATTCATGTATTCGACAGGGACGTGCCCCACTAGTAGATTGGTATCTTATTTGCCGTGTTATGATTATAAAACCATTTGTTACATTCAAAATGGCTTTTTGTGTGCTCGATTTCAGAACGTGGCCATATGTGTTGAATTGACACAACTAGTGACAGAGTGATGGAAAATTGATATTCTGTTATTAACTTTAGATTTGGGTGACGGAAAACTTTTAATTTCGGAAAATGGTGCCATGACTTAAAGAAAATGTTGAAAAATGCTAATTGAGCCCATATGATATCAATAGTCGCTTAAAGGTATTACAAAGTTTTGATATGGGGTCATGCATTTGGTTCAAATGAACATATTGGAAACATATGCGATCCTTCAATATTAAGTGATCGTTGTCGCGATTGAAATCAGGTCGGCTAAAGTGATGAAATTGTAAATAATACACTCTTTTCGTTGCATAACTCCCTCTCAATGTCAATATATTAATGTAGCTATAAAACAAACAACTTCGTGTTCTGAGATTTCCATGGTCGCAGTTACCATTGTATGGCCGGGAGCACCAGTAAATTTTGATATTCAATTTTTCTCAAAAGCCGAAATGTTTTAGGGGCTACATTTTCTAGTGCTTATAATACATCCACAGGGGCACCCAAATATTTCAAAATGGTAAAGAATCGCTATTTAGCCAATTATCAAAATTTCCCGAAACTTTGTAATACTGAAAATTGCACATTCACCTTGCTTATGCTTCGGTATCCCAACCATTTCATCTTTGGAATTCTTGGAAGTAGGTAAAACTATTTCTTTAATGCAATCAAGCAACACTAACTGAATGGAAGATATTTTGTACGATACCTTTTTAGCTTTGCTTTTTATTAGGATTCGTAATATTTTGCTATCAAATATATATTTTTGGTCTTCTTGTAAAAGCTTTTAAATAACTCGATCAATAACTCAATTTGTAACATGTTTCTTATTTCCTTTTGTGTGATTATGATTTACAAAGATTGTTGTATATTGTAATATTTTTATCATGTTAAATATGAAAAACAATAAACTGAAACTGAAGGGCGCAAGTTAACTACGTAAGATATAAAAAAAACAATTGGATTGGAATACATTATAAATTCATTTATTACAAAAGGGTATTTTTATATTTGTTAAATTCACGTTTTAAGAAACCTTAACTGAAACTAAACCGCTATGTATACCTCAAAATAGGCACCGTTGAAAAAAATGATATGTATTATTTATATAGTGGCGGTGTAGAGAAATATATTCCTTTGTTGAGAGCCATGGGGTGTATTAAACCCTGTGTAGAATTACACGATGTATCCCTATCATTGGCTCGATATGGCTCTTCCCGAACCATGGTCTTTTGATGGATTGCATGTCTAGTATACAATTTTCTAATTTCTTATACTTTAAAAGGGTCTTTGTATACCTTTTTTACAATATTATTCATAGCGACGGTAGAAACATGACCTATATTTCCGGACGTAATTGCAACATTGCACTAAAAAAAAGCGAGCTTTCGGAAACTTATGAACCTAATGCTTATGAGTATGTGATGTTACAAGGCACGGTTGTCCACTGTCGCCTTCATTATCACGGATGTGTTGAAACATAACATTTGCACAGTGATACGGAAAAGGGGGCATAGGGCATGTGCCCCTTTCCCTCCCACGTTTGGCAAAAGAGAGTACATTTATAAAGAAAAAAAGATGGGAAGGGAAGAGGAAGAGTAAGATGAAGGAAAGAAATTGAGAAGAAGATCAAGAAAAAGTACAAGAAGAAGCAGATGACAAAGAAGAAGAAGATGATGATGATAATAATGATGAAGATAGTAATGAAGACGAAGTAGAAGATGCAGAAGAAGAAGAAGAAGAAGAAGAAGAAGAAGATCGAGGAGGCGGACACAGGTAAAGAAGCAGACCCCTTACAGACCCTTTCAATATTCGGAAGCACTAGTGCCTTGTGAACTAATATTAATACCCGTAACGACCCCCCCCCCCCCCCCCCCGTCACTTGGACTTATACTACACTAATGCATTTTCATTAATGTGTACCTTCCATGATTTCTAAGAAAGCGATCGAGGAAACGTAAATTTGTTCCAATATTAACACCTAAAAGTCAAATTAAGTACGTTTTTAAAATGGTGACAGATGAAATTATCACGCCTAACTTCATAACGTCTTTATTTATTTGCACTCGTTATGGCGGTTCAGAGACACAGAGACTCCCAAATCGTCAGGAAATTAGACTAGAGGCGTGTGTGAGAGAAACGTGAAGGAAATTAGACAGGATGCAAATTTGTTTATCTCATCATGAGATATATTGTAGCAATCCTCATTATCCTTAAAGGCAATCGCCTATATCATTTTTATCGGATTAGATATCGTAGCAACTAAACAGTAGTTTAGAATGGTAAAAAAAAATGTGGGAAATGAAGTATAGACAAAATGTAGAGAAAGATATTGTCTTTTCAATCAATCGAGAATGGAAAATAAAACTTTATAAACGTATCCTTTATTGCACGATTAGTAGGTGTATGCATATTAATAATGAACCCTCAGGATGAAATGCACCATTTAATTAATAAGACCAATATTCAGTTAAAAGTTTTTAAATGTCAATATATTTTCCCTCTTTATATCACATTTAACGGAAATTAAAATGAAAAACAAAATAACTGGACTGTACCGCTTATGAAATGTTTCCAAACATATTAACAAAATAGTCGGCATGTACCATACACTTCAAACAATGTGGCAGTATTGTAACAATCTCCCTGCGCAACAATGTATTTGTCATGGGATGAATATGTAAAATGCTTTAAATGCATTCAACTGTTTCTAGTGCAAACAAATTATCTATACCAGCATTAAAGCGGTTGTCATGAAGCTGATAAGGACCAAAAAGTGGTAATTTTGCACACATAAAATTGTGTTGCACAAAGTCATCATTTTCCTCTCTTGCTGATTTTTTTTATAATTTCAAAAGTGCATAATTATGTGGCAACTCGCCACCGTTCAGAGAGGCGAAGGAATAAACCGAGATGTTAATCGAAAGTGATTGAAAGGCGTAAAATACTTACCTACAGAAGTTCTCTCAATAAATGTTGGTATTCTGTTCATGGGTTGTGTATCTTCCACAATTTGAGTTGATTAGTTTGGCAGTGAATTGACGAAGGTTAAGAAAGCCCGAAAAATGTTTCTACTCTCTCATTGCAACGGAACACAACTACATTCATATGTGAGCCGTCGTCGTGTCATGATAAGAAATGTAAAGATCCTTTACGCCAAAGCTGCATTTCCCGTGAAGGTCGACCTTTCTTTCTTTTACCAAAATCACCTTTATGCGGTAAGAACTGACATTGCTTTTTGCCAACGAATTACAAATGAAAAAGACACAGGGCATTTTCTCTGGTACAGCAGAGAATTGCAGCATTGTACAGTCTGGTCACGTGATTAATCGAATTATGTGGAAAAACGCCGGCGTCCTCCGCTGATGTAATAGTTTTTCTCTCTTATCGGCCCAGGTGTCTATTGTTTAACTGACAAACCAACAGCCATTCGTGAGTGCGTGATGATTCCGCAGACCTAACTTGCTCCGTTGATTAATTACGGCTGGTTCTCACCTTGGTTGTGCTGCAGACTGTTCCAATGTATCAGGACACTAGTACTACAATTAAAGGTAAAGACCAGTATTGGAAACGCCCCAATTTAAAAAAAAATGAAAGGGAAGCTCATATTACCAATCATGTGAAAGAATATGTTTTGACTTATACATGATGATTTTGCTGGAAAACCGCCTACTAATTGATATATTTGGTAAATTAGTTTATCTATTGGTGTGTGAGAGATAAACGCACGTGTGCGTAGTCACATATACATCTTTCTGTGTACAGTGCTTGTAACTTTACGAAGACGAGGCCAAATTTCTTATCATTTTGATGATTCCAGAACCTTGCAGTACATACCAATACTTATATGCTAGATGATCAACCTTTTCTGATCGATTCCACAACGTTTCTTTTACAATGCAATCGCATGACCATAACTGGTGTTTATCTTTCATTCCTTGTCCAGACACTTTCTTGATATCATCAGTCCATATATTGGTGGACGACCTCTACCCCTTCTCAACACCTTCTCAACACCTTCATTTAAAAGAATCGTCAGGAATATCAAGCCTGACACAACTGAGCCCTATAGAAGAACCTAAATCATTATTGTTCTAATTATCATAAGTACAATTATTGTAAACAAATTATTAATGTCAATAGTAGTATTGCTATTATCAGTATTATTTGTATTATTATCATCTTCTTCATTATTATCACCATTACCATAATCATTAGTAGTATTATTATATTATCATTATTATTGCTCCTGATATTACAAATACTACTACAACTACTTCAAATGTATCAAATTTATTAAGAGAATTACCACAAAAATTGCATTCGTGGCCCAGGAAAATGGATTTGTCAAATCATGGCATAAGATATAAACATAAAACACAGACAGCTGAACAGATATGAAACATAATTTAATCAGAAAAATAATAAAAATGAGAGAATTAGAAATAAGAAGTATTGACTAAATGGAAATAAATTAAATATAAGTGTTGTTTTTATTATATAAGAATGATGTGTTAGGCAAAGTGGAGTATATTGATATGTTGTTTCTTGTTTTGTTCCCTCTCTCTTCTCTCTCTCTCTTCTCTCTCTCTCTTCTCTCTCTCTCTCTCCCCCCTCTCTCTCTCTCTCTCTCTCTCTTTTTTCATTTTCAGATAATTGGCAATAGCCCTTCGATGCGTATTGCTGCTGATCGACCTTTGACGTTTGCGGATTGCAGAGAACCAATAATTAAATAGCACACGTTCTCATGATTACGTCAGGATGCTATCATTACTTATCTTAATGCGATTGATTAATCTGATTTCTAAGTAGCTCTTTGATATGGCAACTTCGCCATTTATGCGTAGAGGTTTAAAAAAGTAGATTTGTAAGATGTGTTCAGCGTTGCAGAAATGTTTAGATGCAGTTATATTTGTAAATTTAATATATTGAATTAACCAATACATGTATATCTAAAAAGGAGACAAACGAGGGGAAATGGCACTAGTAAAAGTTATGTCTTTTTGTGATTCTTTTTTAGTACTATAAAGGGATAGCAATGTGATACTACCATAATTATGATAAGTCCGATTTATTATTGTTTCGAACATTTTTAATTCATGTTTTGTTTATCAATACTGTAAATAAAAATGTATTTGTGGCTGCTCCGTTTATCAACGACTGCTTCACCTATGTCTACACAATGAGTGTCGTCCATTCAGTTTTTTTCAGTATATCGCATTATTAGGTTCTTGTTATCTGTCAAAACAGCTTTTGCGTGCAAATTATGTCGCATTAAAATATAGCACATTTAAATTTATGCTATCCATGGTCCACGAACTTATTTCTCTATTGCTACTAAAGGCCCGGTCACACAGAGGGGACGCATGGAGAACGCACGGCCAGCGCATTGGAAATTTGCAAGTTTGGCCAGTGCGTTGTCGTGCGCCCAACTTTTGTCGTAGCTACAGCGAGCTGACACCAAATGCATAGCGTGTTGCTAGCGCGCTGAGCGTATACAGGGCGCATACAGTGCGCATACAGACCGTACCCAGAGCGCACATGATAACAACTTCCACGAATGCACAGCGTGTTGCTAGCGCGCTGGACGAATGGTCCACGCATGCACCGCGTTCTACGACGCACGGCCAGCGTATTGGAGATCGGAAAAGGCCCTGTGCCTAACTTTTGTCATGATTTTGGAAAAGCTAGCGAGCTGACACAAAATGCACAGCGTGTAGCTAGCGCGCTGTGCGTATACAGGGCGTGTGCTCCGTGTATGTCTGGCGCTGGTCTAGCGCGCTCAACGCACGTCTGGCGTGCCTTTGGCGTGTACATTCATGCGTCGAGCTCCGCGCACACTTTTGAGCATGCTCAAAAAATCCCGACGCACACAGCGAATGACGACGAATGCATAGCGTGGGTCCAGCGCGCTCGACGAACGAGTAACGAATGATGACGCACGCCTAGCGAACGACAACGCACTGGCCAAAAATGCAAATTTTCCATGCGCCGGCCGTGCGTCGCCCATGCGTCCCCTCTGTGTGACCGGGCCTTTACGGAAGTGAGTCCTAGGCCATGACAAAGAATAACAGACAGAGAGTTAATGCCTTTGAAATGTGGTGCTACAGGAGGCTGTAATTGCAGGTGTCATGGAAAGATAAAAAGACAAATGTGTGGGCCCTGGAAAAGATTGGAACAGACTTGACCATCAGAAGGGGAATCATGGAAAGAAAACTAAACTATTTTTGGGCACATTGTTAGGAGATCTGAAGGTGTCGAGAAGCAAATAATGCAAGGAGCAGTCGAAGGAAAAACGGGGTAGAGGTCGTCTACCAATATCTTGGACTGATGATATCAAGAAAGTGTCTGGACAAGGAATGAAAGGTGCAACACAAATGACAGGTGAAAGAGTTACATGGCGTGCTCTCGTGAAGGCCACAGCAGCGCTTTACAGCGCCACCTGAAGTTGATGATGATGATGATGGTCCACGAATTGGCCGAATTCGATATTAATTTCTCAATTCCATATCTGTGTCATTTAAGGCAAATGAGACGTACAGGGACTAATTTAATACGTATCAACAGCTTGATATGTAGGCCTACCGACACACCGAAATCAATAATATCGCCACCAACGGCAACATTTTTCGACGAGCTGATTGTTATTTGTATGATAAAGTTGTATTTCTTGACTTTGACATTAAACGAGTGAAATCGAGCAAAAGGGAATTCGAGATGCAAATCAAAAAGTATTATAGGAACAGATCAAAAGAGGAGGAGCAAAGATAAACAAA